GCTGATGCTGCTGCTGATGATGATGCTTAATATGATGCTCATGATGCTGAGGATGATTGTGATGATGCAGAATAATCTGTTGATGCTGATGGGGATTCTGGTGGTGATGCTGATGATGACGCTGGTGATGGCGATGCTGATGGCCATGCTGATGCTGTTGATGATGATGGTGCTGATGGTGATGGTGGTGGTGATGGTGATACTGATAGTGGTTGTGATGGTGACGATGATGGCGATGATGATGGTGGTGATGGTGATGCTTGTTGTGATGATGGTGATGGTGATGATGAGGAGAAGGAGGAGGAAGAGAAAACGGTGGATGAGGAAACGGAAGGCCGCCACGCGTGACACGTTTCGTCTACATTCGTTGGGGAGCCCTCATGGAACTCGTTTGGGCCGTGCTGCGGCTATATTGGCCTCCTGTTAGGCAGTCTTTGGACCCCCCGGGGGCCCCTCTTGGGTCGATTTTGCACCCTCTTGAGCTTCTCTTGGGGCCGTTTTGGGGCCCTTTTGGGCAGTCTTGGGCGCCTCACGGGCCGTCTTGAGGGTCTCCGTGGGGTCTCTTCCGCCGTCTTGGGATTCTCTTGGGTGTCTCTTGGCTCTTGGGCCATCCTGGAGCGTCGGGAACCCCAAAATGCAGAAACGCCCGAATCCTTCAAATGTTAGCGGGACATCAATGATGCTTTGCTCTCGAGGGCCCTCGTGGGAGTGCTCTTGGAGCTCTGTTCGGACTTCTCGAAGGCCCCTTGGGCCGTCTTGAGGCCATTTCCGGCCTTCTTGAGGTCACAGTGGAACGTCTCGGAGTCATCTTGGGCCGTTTTGGAGGCATCTTGGCTTCGGGAACGCGAGCATGTCTTATTTTACGAGGGTCAGTGGCCTCGGGAGTGCGAAGTTTGTCGCATTCTGGACAGGGAATCTGGCGTCGGAATGGGGGGCGGTGGGCCAGTTCATGCGGCGAAATGCGAATGGGCGGGGGTCCCGCAGAAGACATCAATAACCGTGCCAGACAACACTAGCACGCCTCAACTTGCCAGGGGGCACGGTGGTGGATCCCAGAGTTTTGGTCGTTATATCAGCAACGCTGGAATTTGGTGCGCATTTGGTTTTGATCGTTAGTTAGCGGGGCGGTGGACGTTGCACAGGATCGCAGGAACTAAAATGTTGTAGTCCTAGAGCGCTCCAAGAGGGCTTATGGCTGCAATCCAAGATGGCCTAAGAAGGCCTCAAGGCGGTCCAATAGGGCCCCGACGCGGTCAAAGAGGCCCTTGACCCCCCCGTCAGAATTTGCGGGTTTGTAGGGTTCTCGTTTTCTCAGGTGTGAGACGGCTCAGGACTGCCCCGAAGGCTCGAACTATTGCCCCAAGGTGGCCCAAAAGGCCCCCAACAGCGACCGAAAATGGTCCAATACATTCCCAAGAAGGGCCCAAAAAGACCCCAAGAGGCTCCAGAGAGAGCCCCACGAACGCTCCAAGACGCCCTTAACGGGGTCCCAGAGGGCCCGAAGATGGCCTCAAGATGGCCAGAGCTCCCCAGCTGGTCCAAAGAGCCCCCCAGGACGGTTCGAAGCGCCTGGCAAGGGCCCACAAAGGCCTTGGCAGGACCCCCAAGACGACCCAGAGCAGCAATTGTTGGTGATGCCCCAAGGGTTGTTGTTCAATGATTCTTTGTACCGCGTCACAACAACATCAGTCACCAAGGCTCCCACTGTCAAGTTCTTGACTACCGCAAACTATTATTTGGCGAAGGTGCCGCCTCAAGCTTCACTGGATGCGACATATCGAATGGGTGATCTTCATTTGGGCGACGGCGCTTTTGGTGCACCGCCGGCTACCCTCACTGCGCTATCGAGATTTGGCACGGGGCTGGCATACAGATCGCTCGCCAGCGAAGACATACTTCCCGTAATGCTAGTTTGGCGGTGTGCCGTTTTGTATCTCTCATGGGCATGAAGCAACGAGATTGCGATAGCCGATCGAGCATTACAGAAACATCCATGCGCTTGTCCCCGTGAGACACTCTTGAGGGTCCTCTTGGAGCGCGTCTTGGGCCGTCTTGATGCTGTTTTTGGTGTTCTTGAGGCCTCTCATATTCAATATGGGTCGCAGCATAAGCTGATTCCTTTGGTGGCGGTCTTGCACATCTATGTTACTAGTGATGGGTCACACAGAGTTTTCCAATGTTGTAGGTTGCGCATCGATTGCGGTGTGGTGGCCTTCGCATCGTTTTCTATTGCCGTTTTTGCCGTGCAAACAGGCTAGGCCCAAGAGGCTTACGCAATTCCGCCGACCCTCGACATGCGGTGCAAGTCTGGACGATTCTCGTATCCCCCGCAGCCCATCTAAAAGAACTGCCCAGGCGAAGAGCGGAGAGAAGGGACGCAGATAAGCAGACAACGACACAAGACAGGTCATACATGCTCAAGTCAGAGACTCCTAGGAGCCTCTTGGCGTTCTCTTGGATATCTCTCGGGGTCCGCTTGGCACCATTTCAAAGCGTTTCGAGGCTTTTTTGGGCCTCTTAGGGCCGTCCTGGATTCCACCTGTCCAAGCAGGGGGTCCTTACATGTGCCCCCTGTCTGGAGCCCGACAGTTCTGCTCTTGGGCCCTCTCTCGGCACTTCTCTGGCAGATCTTGGAGCCAGGAGCCAGCTTGAGGCTCCAGAAGCCCATTGGAAACAGATAGGCGAGAAGGCACTTTCCAACCAACTACTTCTTTACATTCAGCGACTACAAACTGTATGTTCACGCCATGGTGTGGTTTGCGATCGGCTCCGTCGGGTCCTGGGAAGCACGACGCTGTCCTCGTCGGGCCTCCTCATGGCGCAGCGAAGAGATCTGTCGAGGTCTTCGCCTGCGCCCAAGGGGTGCCCCCCCTCCGGGTGCCGGTTGCAAACCACACCCTTTGCAGACCACACCCTTCGGAGCCGCCGCCACATGCTCGAAGCGTGTTGGCCTCTCGGGAGTAATTCTTGGGAGGCCCGGCGTCTTGGAGGGCACCTTTTGCGGGCACCCCGCGGACGACTGCGGTTTTGGATCCCGAGGCTCCGCTCGGGGAGGGTCCAGGGGGCGCGCCCTGAGAGCTCGTCCCTCCCCCGCCCCGCCCTCCGAAGACATGCTGGACCCCCTGGGGAGGGGGAAGTGGAAGTCGGCGGCGAGCCCAGGGGGGAAGTGCGAAGGGGCGAGCATGTTCAGAAGGCTCGGGAGTCCCCCAGCCTTTCGAGAAGTCTTCTGAGCCTTCCCCGAAGACGCCCGAAGCCTCAGAAGGCCCGAGGCCTTCTGGCCTTCTGAGAAGGCCCGCCGTCTTCTGAGGGGGCCTTTGCCTTTTCGCCTCCCCGCCTCGCTCGCCGCCGAGGAGTGGAACAAACAATAATCTTACACGTCTTCTCACGTCTGGCACACGGAGGTCGGCATATTCAGTTTGCAGCAGCCTTGCACATGCGTATCAGAGTGAGGGGGTCGAGCGGTTTTGTTCTGTCTCTGGGTCTGGTTGTCGTGGGCTTCCGCGGTGGGCCGTTGTTTTGGCCCCGCCCTGCGACCCACCCGCGATTCACCCCGCGCCCCGCCCCACGGCCCACCTTCTCGCTTCACGATAGTTCCAAGAGGACCCTGGAGGAGCCAAAGAGAGGCTCCAAGGGCAACGTTATAGCCCCCAATGCAAGGAACACAGCGTGGCCCAAGGGAGCGCCAAGGCGAAACGACAGCTCTCAGATGGCCGACAAGCGCCCCAACCTGGTCCCTGGAGAGGTCAAGAGGGCCCAAGGTGGTTCAGCTATCGCCCCAAGAGGCCACAGGGTGACCCCATGGCCCTTTGCGGGTCCTTTTGGCCCCCAGACACCTTGGATGGCCGCGCGCGAGCTCCGCGAGGAGGAGGAGGAGGAGGAGGAGGAGCAGGAGGAGGAGGAGGAGGAGAAGGAGGAGGCCCCCCTCTGCCCGACCCTCCACCCGCCCTGCCCGCCACGTCGGGCAGGAGCGTCTCGGCCCCTCGTGAGGGCATGTGGTCGCGACGGCGAAAGCACCGCTGCCGTCTTTCCCTCGCGCTCGATCGGCACACCGCCGTCCATCGAGACAGTTGCGCCGGCACAGCAGCTGGATCGAAGAGCTGAGAGATACAGCGTGCGCCGATCCCATGTCACTGCCAACCCTCTCGGGATCCCTCGGTCGAAGCGTCCGACCTGCGACGGCAGGCTCGCGACGTGCCGACGCCGCTGCAGTGCCAGCGCGGGCGCTCAGGGCCGAACGCAGTCGGTGGCGCGGACTCGGCCAGAACGTATCGAACGGTCCCCGCTGCTGGAAAGCCCACCAGGCCACACGATCGGGCGAAGAGAACTGTGCACATGCACCAATCCTGGCAAGGCTTACCTTTGACCCAGGATCGGTGCATATATACCTTCCCGGCCAAGGTAGGAGGGCGTATGCACCGATCCTGGGCTCAGGATGCTGGCCAGAATCGGTGTGTGTGTGTGTGTGTGTGTCTGTGTGTGTGCGTGCGTGTGTGTGTGTGTGTGTGTGTGTGTGTGTGTGTGTGTATGTGTGTGTGTGTGTGTGTGTGTGTGTGCGTGCGTAGCTCCCTTTCCTCTAACACGAGCTGCGCAAGCTCTGCGCCTGCGGGCCTGACCGAGGCGCCGTGGCCCGCTCCTCTGCCCGCGCAGGGTGCTCGCGGCCGTGCAGGCTGCGCTGGGAAGAGGAAGAAAGCCAGCGCGACGTGCTGCCCGAGGCCAGTTGGCCCACGTCAGTCCCACGAAAGCCTCGATCGCTCAGGGCTGACCGACCCACTTCCGCCATTTTGGCCCAAGGCTTCCTGCAGGGAGTCCTCCTCCCACTGGCGAGCAGCTCCTCAGCGCCGCGTGGCGCCATGTCGTTCCGCTACGGAGGCCTCGGCGGAGGCGCGGGCGGCGCGGGCGGCCTCGGCGGCGCGTACGGCGCCAGCGGCATGTACGGCGCCAGCGGCGTGTACGGCGCCAGCGGCGTGCACGGCGCCAGCGGCATGTACGGCGCGCGCGGCATGTACGGTGCGCGCGGCGCGTACGGTGTTGGTGGCGCGGACTGCGGCACGGCGTGTTGCGCGAGCACCAGCGCCTGCATGGGCTGCGGCCCCGGCTGCGGCGTGGCCTGTGCCGAGGGCTCGGGTTGCGGCGGCGGCGGCGGCACGATCCTGAGCTACGTGGGCCCAGGGGGCGACTACGTCCAGGAGACCACCTACAAGTACGTGGGCATGGGCGCCGGCGAGTTCGGGGCAGTCCGCATCCCTGGTCGCGGCCCGAACTTCTGCCTGATCTGCCTCGTGCCTCTGGGTCTTTCGCTCCTCCTGCTGCCACTCCTCCTCTTCGCGATCTCACCAGGCTCGACGACCACCACGACGACGACCACCACCACCACCCCGGTGATCATCACGACTACCCCGCCGCCCGACACAACGACCACGAAGAAGACAACCACCACCAAGGCTCCGCCTCCGCCCCCGCCGCCGCCGCCCCCGCCCCCGCCCCCGCCCCCGCCGCCCCCGCCGCCCCCGCCGCCCACTACCACGGAAAAGAAGATTAATTGCGGCGAAGGCGACGTGGTGTCCTGGGACGTGCCAAAGAAGGTGTACTGCTGCCTGCACGAGGGCAAGGGCTGCCCGACGACCCCGGCCGCTCCCAGCACAATGCCGGCGCCAGTCGTACCGGTGGTGACAACGGCGATGAGCACCACGTCCCCGTGCCCGATCGACTGCAACGCTGGCTACAACGACCTCGACCCGCTGCAGTGGGTCCGCGGATGGTCTGGCGAGAAGAAGCGCAAGCGGCAATGGACCGCTGAGCGCTGGAGGTCGCGGAGGCCGCGGTCGAGGACAAGGGAGGAGGCGCGAGACGGAGGCGAGCGCTGAGAGAGCGGCCGCTGCGGCCAGGCCGGACTCGTGGCTGGCCAGCCTCGGGGGCGGCACCAGAGCAGCGAGGCAGCCTACCGCCAGGACGGCGGGCACGCGGCACGCGGAGGATTTCGCCGAGCTGGAGGAGGAGGCCCCAGTGCACACGCCTACGTGGACGAAGGTGCCCAAAGGCATGCGCACCAAGGAGACAGACAGGCAGTACATGAGGTACTATAGGGCCAAGATGCGAGCGACGAAGGATACGTTTCGCTGGGAGTGCCCACAGTGCCAGGTCATACTGCGAGCAGGCGACCTCATGCAGATGGCTACGAAAAAGATGCATCACAGGAGGATGCATCGCCGTGCAGCTGCGGAGATGGAGGCGCCGGCAGGAGGCGACAACAGTAGAGGAGCAGGAGGCGCAGCAACGGCACAAGGCAGAGGAGGAGGAGGAGGAGGAGGAGGAGGAGGAGGAAGAGGAGGAGGAGGAGGAGGAGGCAGCAGCAGTGGAGGAGTCAGTGGTCGCAGGGGGGGATTCGGCCGTCCCTCCGAGGCGGTGGATGCGTTCCCTGGCATACCGCCAGACTGCAGAGCATGGACATGCAAGCTCTGCGACCACGCCCTGCCGACCACGCTGTCCGCGAGGGTGGTCCGTGAGGCACGAATTCGTCATTGGGTACGTGCTCATCCAGACGTTCCCCTCGCCAGACTACGAAAGGAGGCGTTGCACGACAGTATGGTGGCGTGCCAGGTCGGCAAGCGCGCGGCCCTCGTGGAGCGCATCAGGCAAGAATTGCGGGAAGCTGGAGCCGTTGCCATGCGTGTTCTCCCTGGGTCCGAGTCCGCGAAGGGATGCGAGATTACTTGCGGGAAGTGCCACCGGCGCTGGCTGACCAAGCACGGCGGGAGTCGGCTGAAGCATGTGGCGCAGCACAGGTGCAAGGAGTGGCACTCGCGGGACTCCACATGGACGTTTTCTGACACGCAGCTGGCATGGAGCCGGACCACTCCAGAGCGAAAGGCTTTACTCAAGGAGACCTGGCAGAATGCGTCTCCGGAGTGGTTCCCGAGCGAGGCGCAGTGGCAGCAGCTGGACGCGTATATCCGTGAGGAGCTCCCGACGCTTTCCCCGTGGGGACGATATCGTGAAGGGGGAAGGAAAGTGCCCATCCACAAGACTAAGGAGGCAGCAAGAAAATCCAAGATAGGAGACGCAGAACGGAAAGCTCAGACCATGAAGGCGCGCGAGGCCAGACTGAAGCGGTGGGCGCAGTGGTGTCAGGAACACCAGTGGGGGCAGCCAGGAGAGGAGGCCGCTAGTCGGCGCTGAAGCGGAGCCGGCGGCAGGCGCGCCGGCCACAGGAGGGAGTGTTTTGAGGATCGGCACGCTCAATGTTGCGGGATGGCTCCGCAACGGTGAAGCGGCACTGCGTGCCGCAGCGACAGAACAGCTGGATGTGGTGATGCTACAGGAGATGCGCCTGACCAGTGCCCAGGGAGCTACGCAACAGCGACGGCTTCGTTCTGCAGGCTGGCGAGGCGTGCCAGGCACGGCCATACAGGAGAGCTGCAGAGAGAATGGCTATAAGCAGCGGGACAAAACTGGTCTCTGGGTCATCATGAGGCCAGGGTGGGAGATCAGGAAGGTCTCGCACTTCAGAGAGGCAGGAGGGGAAGCAGTGCTCCACACAGTGAGGCGCGGAGACCAGGAATGGCGGCTCCTCAATTTCCACAGGCGCGTAACAGCGGAAGCGCTCAGCACCGCGAGCTTGGAGGAGTGGATCGAACGCCGTGTGGTCGAGGCTCCAGCGACCACGCCCACGCTGGTAGGAGGAGATTGGAATGATGACCCAGACGGCTCGTTCCTAGTCAACCTCAAGATGCATGGCAACCTCCGTATCCTGGCCCCGGCGGCTCCGACACGGTGGGGGGGCCAGCGTACCATCGATTTCTTCGGGGTCAAAGCTGACCGGGCTGCGCGGGGCACCGTCTGCGATGCGAAAGCCCATGTCGTCGGGGACCACAAGCTGGTCGTGCTTGAGTTGCCTGGCTTCTCCAACGCAGGCCGCCCAACCCCAGGCGGGTGGCAATGGGAGCAGACGAGCAAGCGAATCATACCATCGAGGACGGATGAGGAGACAGCGAGGTGGCAGGAGGAGGCAGGCAGACTCTGGCGCAGGCTGGCTGGTGAGATCTCGCCAAGCCCCACCTGGGAGGAATGGAGCCAGGTCGGAGAGCAAGTGCTGGACACGTTGCTGCTGCACCCCGAGCTCTGGCGCGATGCGGAGCCGCAGGAGACGCGCGCCAGGACAGAGGGAGAAGGGAACGGAGGAGGAGGAGGAGAGAGCACAGGAGGCAGAGACAGAGGAGGAGACGATATCACAGGAGACAGAGGAACGCCAGAGGAAGAGGAGGGCCTTTCAATGAGCAGTGGCCGCGGGCAGCGCAGCAGCAGACGTGCGCCGATCTCGGAGGTCCCTGTCGCCAGCCCGCCACGGGTATGGAAGCACGCTCGCGCTCTTAGGCGCCGCGGGGCGGAAACTGCGAACGAGCCAGTGACGACCATGAGGAGCGAAGAGGCGCTGCTGAGGGAGTTGCTCCAAGCACTGCGCCTATGCCACAACCGAGTCACGTGGACTCGGGCAGACGCGGAGCGTGCCGGGAAGGAGTGCCACAGAAGAGGCATACGAGGCACGAGGGCTCAGCAGATGACGGCAGTACAGACGCTTCTCGACCAGGAGCTGGAGAGGAAACAGAAGGAACGCATTCAGCAATGGCGCGAACGCCTGAGGAGACAACCTCTGGGGAAGCCGGTGTTCGAGTGGGTCAGGGCGAGGGTTTGGCGACCAACAGACGCCACCCTGAGAGACAGGGGGGTGGTCGTGGTTGAAGGCCAAGCTGCCGAGGCCGCCCGACGCCACTATCACGAACACTTCAAGGAGGTAGCGCGCGGCACAGACGTAGAGGCCTACGCAGAGATGTTCCGCGATCAGTTGCAGAGGTGCTGGCGCCTCATTGTGGCGAGGAATGACCGCGAGGAGGTTTGGAGGGGGCCCCTCGGCGTGCCGCGTTCGTGGGGTTCTCCGTTGCCGGCGGAGTTCCGGAGGCACATCCGGCACATGCTGGGAAAGGCTGGAGGCCTTGACGGATGGAGCGCTGCAGAGCTCTTGGCCCTCCCAGACGAGGCCCTGGCAGATATGATCAGGATGTTCGAGCAAATGGAAGAGGGGGGTGCGCTCCCGGAAGCCCTTCGGAGGTGGCGACAAGTCCACATTCCCAAGGAGGACACGGACGTGCCAGACGTCACCAAGCTCCGCCCCATCGCCATCTCTAGCGTGGCTTGGCGTGCCTGGGCTCGGCATCGCGCGGGACAGATTGCCGACCACTTGAGGCCAGCGTGGCCAGACAGCCAGGGCGGCGGAGTGCCAGGAGTCGCGTTGGAATCGCTAGTTGAGGTGATGATGACAGAGGTGGACGAGGCAATCCTGGAGAGACTGGAGGCGGCGACCACCGAGGACAGCGAGGCAAGAGCAGAGGAAGGATGCGCGCCGCTCTTCCTCAGGAGCTGGGACTTTAAGACGGCCTTTGACCGTGTGCACCCTGAGCTAGTGCGACGGGTCTGGAGCGAGCTTGGGGTCCCCGAAAGAGTGACGGAGCCAATTGTGCGAGTTTGGAAGGCACAGCAACGCTGCATCGAGGTGGGCTCGTTTGTCGCCCCGCAACTCGTGGCCGCGCCGGGGTCGCTGCCGCAAGGAGATCCGCTGAGCATGCTGGCCATGGCGACAGTGCTGATGCCCGTTTTGTACAAGATCGCGGAGCAGGTGCCCAGGGCTGCGCTGTGCACATTCGCGGATGACAGGACGGCCGCGGCGCGGTCACAGGAGGAGATCGACAGCATCGAAAGCATCTGGAGGGATCTGGAGCGCGTGACAGCACTCAGGACGAACGACGCCAAAACGCAGAACTTGGTGTTCGATGCAACCACGCGCCTGCCAAATGCATCTGTCAAGGTGCTTGGGGTCCGCCTGGATGCAGGAGTGGAGCGACGCCATGCCACCACGCCTGAGGATGAGACGCGGGCAGAGGAGTGTAAGCGCAGGGCCGCGCGAGTTCGAGCACTTCCATTGCAGGTGCACGAAAAGCGCATCGTAGCATGCGGCGCCATACTCCCCAAATATCTCTGGAGTCGCGTGCGGCGCATTCCACCGCAGAAGGAAAGGGATAGCATCCAGAAGTCCCTCACGGACAGCGTGTGCAAGAACCAGTATCCCAACGGCAGCGTGTACCTGAAGAGGCTGCTCATTGCTGGGCACAACCTGGATGTGTCATACTGGCAGGCGCGGCGATTGTGGCAGTTCGTAGCCAAGAGGTCCCGCAGACAAGGGATCGCAGCGCTGCGGGAGCAAGTAGTGCGCACCCACAGGCTCAAGGCAGCAGGGCGCAATGTCCCTGGGACCATCTCGGCGCTCCTGGACATCCTGAAGGAGCTGGGTGCTAGCTTCGAGGACGGAGAAAGTGGCGTCATGTGGGTGGCGCCAGGAGTGTGGCTAGAGCTGTCCTGTGGGCCCAAGGCAGCAGCGCACCACCTCCGGGAGCTGTGGCGCAGGAAAATGTGGCAGAGCTACGTTGACACGTCGACGCGCAGGGATGCAGCGGAGGCCCGGAGAGAGCGCGTGCCGTACGACTCCTACGCGATGCGCGCTGCCGGGAACCTCCTGCGCAGCTCCACAGCGGAGGACAGAGCCTTGCGGCCGCACATGCTGGCCGTGCTTACCGGCAGCGTCTGGAGCGACGCCCGGTATGCAAAGATCGCAAAGCGAGAAGAACCTGGTCCCTGCGACAGGTGCAGCACAGGCGCTGTGGCAGATCAGGAGCACCAGAATTGGGTGTGCCCGGCGTTCAGCCGAGAGCGAGGGACGGCGAGGACGCCGTGGACGCGCTTCAGCCGAGTCATGGGCTGGCCGAGCCAACCGCTCGAGGACAAGGCTGCGCGGCTCCGCTGGGATGACCGCATCAGGGCCATGGCCAGGATCCGACGGCGCGTGCTGGCCGAGCGGTACGAGGCCCCGCAGCGGACCAGAGAAGAGGAGGAGCCAGATGTGGAGGCAGCAGAGGTGGAGGAGGCCGCAGAGGAGCAGCTGGAGGCGCCAAGGGAGGAGGAGGCCCAGCACCAGCAGCGCGGGCCAGAGGCTGCAGCAGGTCCCCTCCCAGACAGCGGCGAGGCAGAGGAGGGAACGCGCAAACGACGCCGCAGCGGCGCCGAGAAGGGACGGAAGTTGAGGAGGAGGAGGAGGAGGAGGGCGGGAGCAGACACAGAGGAGGAGGAGGCCGCGGAGGCGGAGGAAGCGGAGGAGGAGGAGGCGGACTTGTTGGTGGTGCCGGAGGGGGTCCTCGCCGCCGGCCCCGCGGAGAAGGCACCTGATTGAGCGCGGCGCAGGCCCCAGGCCGGGGTGCCCGTCATCGGGCTCATGTCGTGCTTCCTTTTGTTCTGCTGCAAGACCGCGAACAAGGGCTGCCCGTCGGAGCTTCCCCCGCCCTCTGGTGCGCCACCTTCCAACGCGCCCCCTGAGCCGGACAATAGCAAGTACGACTGCAACGCGGGCTATCACCATTGCATGCATTGCCTCGTGTTGTCGTGGTCCCCGAGGAAGATCGACTACTGCTGCAAAAACGAACACAAGGGCTGCAAAGGCGAGGAGCCGGAGTGAAACGCCCGCCCGCGCACTTCCGCCGACGGGGGCTTGATGCGGGTTTGCCGCCCTCCTTTTTTTTTTTTTTTCCTCTGGTTGGAAGGGGTGGGTAAGGGCAGGGGTGGGTGGGGGCCAGGGGCGCGCGGGGGGGATCGGATTCTGGTTTGTCGCTGCGGCCTGCGGGGCGTGAGGCCAAGCTTTGCCCTTTCGCGAGCGGCTCATGTGCCACTCCCCCTCCCTGCTGCATATGCCCACTCCCCTCCCTGCCTCTCCCTCTTTTCGCCGCCAGAGAAGCTACTAGCCGGGCGGGGGGCAAAGTGACACCCGCCGCGGCCCTGCAGGGGGCTCTTCCGCGCACCTGTACGGCCACACGGCCAGCGAATGCTCCCCCCAATAAGAAAAGCATGAACGACCGCTTGGTTCCGAAACTCCGCTCCCTAGCTGTCGCGGCACGAGCCTGCCAGCGCCGACTCGCTGGGCGGGTACTTTCCTCGGTGATGTGCTCCTGGAGCTGCGGTCTCATGGAGACCGCTTTTGGATCCCCTGGCGATGTCGGGCGTGACCGGGGTGTGGGGGGTCGCATCCCTTCTCTTGGCGGCGGGCGCGTCAGCCCCCGCGCAGGGCCGTCACGTCTGTGTGCATACGACTTACTTTCTTCGTTGATCGCTCCAGACTGTTGCCATCATGTGAGGCTGAACCAGTCGGCGGCGAGGTTGGGGGGGAAGCCTCAACCTTCTCAGAAGGAGGTGGGGCTTCTCATAAGTCCTCGCGCCTTCCGGGAAGTGTTCAGTGTCTTCGGGGATGCTTTGAAACACGTCTCAGCCTTTGAGAAGGCCCACCCCCTCTGGCCTCCCCCCTGGGCGCGTCGTCGAACGGGGGCGTGAGCAAGATGTTGTCTTGCTGTTTGACTCATGCCGTTTCCGTTGCCCCGTTCTGTGTTCGGGCGCCGGCGCGCGGCCGTGCTGTCTTCGTTCTCGCGGGCGACGGTCGACGGTCTGGAGCGAAGCGGGTTGGTTTGGGAGGTGGCGCCGTTTGGTTCTTCAGCGTCAGGAATGCAGGCGGTGTTCAACGTTGTGCTCGCGCCCTGAGTTGAGCTAAGCATCAGCCCTGGTATCTCCTGATGCTAATCCACCCAAGCCAAATCCATCCCAGTCAAGCCAAATCCAGTGCAATCGTAAGTTGGTGTGAATCTTCGCCTAGACGAATCTTCATCCAGCGTGCTCGCCTTACTCTCGCCCACGAGGGCCTCCCATGATTTATTTCTTTCATGGATTTCGTGCCCGAGGCCGAGATCTGGTGATACGCATTCGCCGCCAGTGGAAATGATGTCCCAGGACCCATGAGGCAGTGGATATTGGTATCCCTGGACCCTGGGCCCCCCACCCGAAACTCCATGTCCACGACCTCCTGGGTGCCTGGGACGCCGATCGTCCAACCCCTGGACCCGGACCGTGGCCACCCCGCTCCTTTCTGGCCTTTGGCAGTGTGCCCGGGGGGGTGGTGCTTCGCGAGGGGGCCGGTCCTCCCAGACGGCGGCGGGGGATTCTGAGGGGGCAGGGGTGGCCTCCGGAGGCCGAGCCCTCCCAGCTGCTCAGGAGCTTCTGAGCTCTTCTGAGGAGGCCTCCCCCCTGCCTTCCAAGAACCCCCCCCCCCCCGCCTTCTGAGAAGGCTGCCCTCGGGCGGGGTCAGGGCGAGGGTGGATCCGTTCCAAAGCGTTCCAGAGCGCTCTCGGAGCGTCCGGAATGCTCTGAGAGGGCCGCGGCGCCCCAGACATCCTCCAGAGCCGCTGGATCCCAGAGATTCCCGATGTATCCTCGACCGATTTGATCCTCGTCCTGGCCTTGTCTGGCGAGATGGCTGCGCGCCTCCGACCTTCCCTGGCCCCAGGCCTGGAGCCCCGACGACATCTCGCACTTGCGGCGCCCCCTCGCGCGCGCGGGCCCGGGTCGGGCCGCTCCCGCTCCGGCGCGGTGCAGCGCTTTGTGTGCGAGGCATCGGCAGGTTCGCGCCGCTGGAAGAGGAGGAGAAGGAAGAGGAGGAAGAGGAGGAGGAGGAGGAGGAGGAGGAGGAGGAGGAGGAGGAGGAGGAGGAGGAGGAGGAGGAGGAGGTGGAGGAAGAGGAGGAGGGGGGAGGAGGAGGAGGAGGGAGGCGGATGACAAGATGAGGAGGAGTGGTAGGATGAACCAGGCGGAACGAGGAGAAGGTGGATGAGGAGGAGGATGACGACGCTGCTGCTGCTGCTGCTGCTGAGGAGGAGGAGGAAGAGGAGGAGGAGTAGGAGGAGGAGGCATAGGAGGGCGAGGAAGAGGAGGGGGAGGAGGAGGAGGAGGAGGAGGAGGAGGAGGGGGAGGAGGGGGAGGAGGAGGGAGGGGGAGGAGGAGGAGGGGGATGAGGGAAGCCCAGTTGAAGGGAAGAGCGCGACGCCGCCGCCGCCGCCGCGCAGCCAGCAAGCCTGGCTCTGCGGCCGCGCCGCGCCCCGCCCCGCCCCCACCCCGAAGCCTCGGCGCCGCCGCGCGACCATCGCCGCCCCGGGCGGGGCTGGGCTGGGCGCCTCGTGGACGATGGCGGCTGGTGAAGACACGAAGGATACAGGATAAGGGGACGAGACTGCTGGAGGATGCTGGAGGGTGGGAGATGATTGGAAGAGAATGCTGACGGACGGTGTATGTCAGAGGGTGACCCTGCAGACCGATAACGCTACACTTCCTTCGTTTTCGCCTTGTTGGGCATCCTGAGAGGCCCTCGTCATCACCGCTGGATTCGCTTCGAAATTCTGGTCAGAACGCACCTGGGTTGAGGTCCGGGGAGTAGCGGTATTGGTACTGTTTGGTTGCTACAGGATGAGGGTGAGCGAGGATGATGGAGGATAGAGGACGGGGTGGATTCTAGAGGAGGAGAAGATACCGATACCCGGGGGGCCTCGCGTATTGGCCTTGAACTGTCCACTCAGGAGGGATTGGTAGCCCAAGGCGGTTCTTCGGCCCGAAGCGGTGGGGCCACCTGAGTAGTGTTCTGTTTTGTGTGTGGAGTTCTGTATTGACGAACTCTTCTCCGGAGTGCAGTCAAGTAGAGAGCGTTTCTTTCCCTGGCGATAACTTGCGTGACCAGGGGGTTGAGAGGGGGAAAATGGGGCAGGCCACGTCAAAATTCGCGCAGGCGCCGTCTGAGAATGCTTAGGAGTGGCCAATTCCTGGACGGCGCTGGCGCGAATCGCGAATTGACTGGGGGTGGGGGAGGGGGGAGGCGGCGGGGTCGGTCACGGGCGTGAGTACGAAGAGTATAGGGCGGGGCTAGGATCAGTCCGTTCCCGAGCGTTCCAGAGCGCTCTCCGAGCGTTCCAGAAAGCTCTGAGAGGGCCGCGGCGCCCGAGACATCCTCAAGAGCCGCTGGATCTCAGAGATTCTCGATCTGTCCTCCCCATAGTTTTTATCCTCGTCCTCACTTTGTCTGAGATATGGACACGGGCTCGTCCGCAAATGCATAGGAGTGGCCAATTCCCAGGGACGGCGTCGAGGCCCGAAGCGCGACGTGGCCAGGGGTGGGGGATGGGGGGGGGGGACGACGGGGCCAGTCGCAGGAGTGATCCTGCGAATTTTAAGAGGACGCGGGCTCGTGCAAGAGACCCAGCCATCGGGCGTCTCGAAAAAATCGAGACGGAGGTTTTTCGTCGTTTTCGGCCTCGGGGCCATCGCCGGGCCTCGGGACCGTCAAAAAACTGCTTGAGATGGCAACCCGGTCCTGGGGAAGTGGTCGGGAGGTCGGGGGGCCCGTGTCTCGAAAAAATCGAGACATTGGATGTCTGGGCATGCCGGTGCCGCTGCACCGGGGGTGGGGGCGGGGGTGCGGGGCGGGGCTGGCCCTCGGACGTGATTGCGAATCCTTCAGAGGGGCCGGGCTCGTCTAGACGATGCCGATTGCCGCCGCTCGCCCTGGAGAGTCCCAGTCGCCGCGGCCGGTGGCGCCTCGGACTTCCGCCCCGGGAGGGGCCCCGGGAGGCGCCCCGAGGCTCCGGCGCTCCGCTGCGCGCCGACCCTCGCCGCCGCGGGCGGGGCGGGGAGCGCGCCGAGGAGCGGCGCCATGCAGGAGGGGGTCTCCAGGTGGTATACGGCAGTCTTCGGCGAAGTGCCCGGCCCGCCCTTCCAGCTGGCCTCGGGGTGCGACAGGGAAGAGGTAGGTACTAGGAGAATGAATGGAGGAGCAGAGGGATCGAGGGAAACGGGTCGGCTAGCGACGATTGCGACTACAGGTATCGGGGGGGAGCGGGCGGGGGACAGGTCAGGGATCAGAAGAGGTTCCCCAGTCGGCCAGGCAGTCGCCCTGAGATCATTTTGGGAGCCTCTTTGGTTCCGCGCTGGAGTGGGGGGTGGCCCAGGGCGCGCTGACCGTTGGGCAGCTTCTCTCAATCTTTTGTTTTTATGGGGGAGCCGTCACCGACGGCTGACGTGGGTGGACACCATGACGCTCGCCGACGCTCGCGAGGGCGGGGACGGGCAAAAGGGAGGCAGGCTTTGTGAAGCCTGTGCTGTGCTGTGGGGAGGGGGGGCGGGCGCAGGTCCAGGCCGCCCAAGTGGCCCCGGGGGACGCCCGCAGCCCAAGGCATGCAGCATGTCGAAGACAGAACAGCAAGCATGGGGGTATCGGGCACCCCGGTGGGGGTTCGCTCGGCTTCAGGCATCGTTCAGGCTCTACAGGATTGCGCCACATCCGCCGACCCCTTTTCGGCAGCCTCTCCCTTTGGGGTTCTTCTTCTTCGGTCGTCGGGGGTCCTCTGCGGGGTTCCTGGGGGCCCAGGGGCAACTGGAACAGGGGGCCTCTCGCCGATTTTCGATATTCGGAGGTTTTTCATCGAGGTCGGCCTCTGGAGGCCCTGTTCGGGTTTGGGGTTCACTTTGCTCTTCTAGTCCGCGCGCGCTTCTTGCTTTTAGACCTGGTCCGCCCTGTCGCTGCGCACAAGGCTGCGACGCCAAAACGTGTGTGTGTGTGTGTGTGTGTGTAGTTTTCTTGTTTTTGTTGTGTGTGTGTGTGTGTGTGTGTGCTTGCGTTTGCGTGCGTGCGTGGGTGCGTGCGTGGGTGCGTGCGTGCGTGCGTGCGTGCGTGCGTGGGTGTTTGTAGTTTGGATGCTTCAGGCCGCGCGCGTCTGCGGCGCGAACTGCCTGCGGCGAGCAGACTCGCAGGGCGGCTGGGGCGGCGATCGCACGTGCCCAGCGGTGCCCTGGGGGCGAGGGGAAGGGCCTTGGGCCGCGGTCCGTCGTTGCCCGAGGTACCTCCCGATTCGAATCTCACCGCGTGCATGAACACCACAACGCCAAGAGCACGCTCTATCAAATACTTGGCAGCTGGCTATTGGCTGTCCCGTGTCACGCGGTCTCGTTCCCGCCCGAGCGGAGAGATTCTGCGGCGTAAGAGTGGGCGCCGCTTGAAGCGGAGGATGACTCAAAAGTTTACCACGTGTGGGGGGGGGGCGATTTTCTCGCCCTCGCCCGGGGTAGTCAAAGAACGACCCGGGCTCAGAAGCCCGCCGTGGGGAAAGGGGCCGGGACTCTTGGGGTGGCCCCGTGCTGCACAGATCAAGCCACGGGACCTCCAGGTGTCCGCCTCTCACCAGCCTTGGCCAGGCCGCTCCCGCGTGCCAGGGTCGGGGTGTGTGTGTGTGTGTGTGTGCCCCTCGTGCCAGGCCATGCGTAAGGGCGCGTGCGCCGCGATCCTGGGCTCTAGGCTTAAGTCAGGCCTGTCCCTCTACAGGAGGAATATTCAAAAATTGGTAAAACAGTCCTGGGACGATTTGTTAGATAACCATTTTGGTGTATTCTTTTGTGACAGTATTTTTCGTCTAAAACCGGCCTGTAGGGGGACAGGCCCGACTTGACTCTAGGCGTCAGTATCGCTTAATCGACCCCCATCCCCATCCCCAGCCCGCTCCAGACCCCCACCATTCGGCACTCCAGCTTGGTATCTACCCTTCGAAGCCCGCAGGCCCTACACGTCCCATATTCCCAGCTAATTGAATAGAAGGGTAAAAACCGGCCTGTGGGGCCCAGGCCTTTGCCAGGATCGGCGGGGTGGAGAACCGACGCCTTCCCAACAGCGGGGCCAGAGTACACCGGGTTCCCCGACTCGCGCGGTCCTGGCCAGAGGGCACCGGCTGTGCAATTGGACCGGTCCTGGCTGGTGCAGTCCTGGGCTCAGGATCGAAGTGTGTTCGCCTTCCCCAGACATCCATCGATGCCTTTTCTTCGAGCCTGCAGCACTGGGACTCAGAGAGAGCTCGTCCCCGGACATCTGGGCTCCGAGCTTGGCCAGGGCGCCTGGACCGGGTATGGGTCCGGCCAGGATCGGGCTCTGGGCGCAGACAGTTTGCTGGCTCGGTGCTTTCCTCGGGTGCGTACTGAAAGACTCGGGGCTTCAAAGATGGGGACATGAAGGATGGGGTCCTAAGGATAGGAAGGGATCCACGGGTGTATTTACATTTTTTGAGGCACCTCGTCCTCAGGACCTCATCCCCCAGGACCCACCCCATCTTTGAACCACCGAAAAACCTTGGCCCGCGCCGAGTCCGGCCCACTCCCCTGCCCCCCCAAGGGGCACCAGAGCGATTCTTCTGCATCGCCCCTCCTTCCCAAAGGTCCGATGTGCCCGGAGGTCCTAGTCCTTCCCATGCAGGGCCAGTTGTTCATCGACGGTCCCGGCCCGGGGAGGGTCCCCCCGCGAGACCGAGAATGGCGGAAGATGTGCGTGTTGACCTCTTCCATCCGTTGGAGGTCTGGGCCATCCTTCGCAGTCGGCCCTGGGGCCCGCCAGGCGGCGCAGCCCAGCCACAATTTCGAGGCGCATCTGGCCGGGGCATCCGAACGGAGTCCGAGCTGAAGGTTTTTGCTCCTCCGTCCTCGATCTCCGACGCTCCTGTTGCAGGTCTGGGCCTCCACGAGCCTCGAACCTTCAGCCCCCAGGCCCTCGATCCTGGATCCTCCTTCCCCCTTCCTCCCTCCCTCTTTCTCCCTCCCCCCCTCCCTTCCTCCCTCCCCTCCCTCTCTCTCTCTCCCTCCTCCCTCCTCCCTTCTCTCTCCTCCTCGCTCCTCCCTCGATCCTGGGTTCTCGTCCCTCCTTCCCTCCCTCCGTCTCCCTCCCTCCTCTAAGATGGGCCGCGAGCGGAGGCCATGGGGCGCGAGAGGCGCGACAAGGGCAAGGACAAGAAGGAGAAGCGGGGCCGAGAGAAGGGCGGGCACAAGAAGGCGGCCCCGGACGCGCGCGGAGGGGGAGCGAGGGACGGCGATGAGGACGAGGATGAGCAGGGCTGGGATTGAGGGCGAGGGTGGGAATGACGAGGATGGATGGGGTAACACTAGCGTGATTACGGCGTTGATGGTGATGGTGGGGATGAGGGCGAGGGTCGTCAGGATGACGCAGATTATGCAGATGATGGCGACGATGATGATGATGATGATGATGATGATGATGATGATGATGATGATGATGATGATGATGATGATGATGATGATGATGATGATGATGCTGATGATGCTGATGATGATGATGCTGATGCTGATGCTGATGATGATGATTATGATGATGATGCTGATTATGCTGATGATGATGCTGGTGCTGATGCTGATGATGATGGTGATGGTGATGGTGATGGTGATGATGCTGCTGATAATGGTGGTGATGGTGATGGTGATGATGCTGCTGATGATGATGATGGTGGTGTTGGTGATGATGGTGATGCTGATGATGCTGATGGTGGTGATGATGATGATGCTGATGATGATGAGTTGGAAGAGGACGATGATGAGGACGGTGCTGATGACGATGATGATGATGATGATGATGATGATGATGATGATGATGATGATGATGATGATGATGATGATGAGATATGACGATGATGATGATGATGATGATGATGATGATGATGATGATGATGATGATGATGATGATGATGATGATGATGATGATGATGATGATGATGATGATGATGATGATTGATGATGATGATGATGATGATGATGATGATGATGATGATGATGATGATGATGATGATGATGATGATGATGATGATGATGATGATGATGATGATGATGATGATGATGATGATGATGATGATGATGATGATGATGATGATGATGATGATGATGATGATGATGATGATGATGATGATGATGATGATGATGATGATGATGATGATGATGATGATGATGATGATGATGATGAGAAGAAGAAGAAGAAGAAGAAGAAGAAGACGACGATTACCATGACAATGTGATGACCACGTGACGCCGTTGACGACGGTCATAAGGATGAAGAGGACGTTTGAATCATAATATGACTATGATGCTGATGGCGGTGGTGATGGTAGTGATGAGAGTGACGGTTTGACGTCGACGGCGACGACGATGAGGAGGAGGAGGAGGAGGAGGAAGAAGCATGGTAGGAGTGGAAAGAGGACATGGCGAGGATTTTCGACGTTGTCAGCTGTCTTTGACATTTTGTTTGGGGCCTTCGGATGCATCCGCGGACCACCTCCAGAGACCTCCAGAGACTTTGGACAACTTTGCGGACCTCTTGGGGAAACTTGTGAATCGCCCTCCACGAAGCGTTGCCTCAAGGCAGTTGGTGGTCTTCGCGCTTTATTGGGGCCTTTTTGGTGGGCCCCCCCTGGGCTGGGCTGTTTCTGCGTAGCTCGAGAAACTTTCCAGCAACATCATCGGGGTCAACCCGTACGAGAAGGCAGGCAGTGGCAGCGTGGTTCGTCGGTGCGAGACGGCGGGCAGCGTGAACAATGGTTGCCGGTGCTAAGTGGCCAGCAATAACAACATTCTCAGCTACATTGTTGCAGGGGGCATGCAGTGGCAGCAGGGCTGGTCGGCGCGAGAAGGTAGGCAGTGGCAGCAGCGGTTGTCGTTGCCAAATGGCCATAAGGAACGACATCTTCAGCTACAGTGTCGCGGGGGCCAGCTCCTGCGAGAAAACAGGCAGTGGCAGCAGGGTCGGTCAGTGCGTGCGAGAAGGTAGGCAGTGGCAGCAGCGGTTGTCGGTGCCAGATGGCCAGCAGGAACAACATCTTCAGCTACAGTGCAGCGGGGGCCAGCTCCTGCGAGAAGGCAGGCGCTGGCAGCATGGTCAGAGTCGGTGCGAGAAGGCGGGCAGTGACAGCAGCGGTTGTTGGTGCCAATGACCAGCAGGAGCAACAACGTCAGTTACCTTGCAGTGCAGGTCAGCTCGTGTGAGAAGGCCAGCAGTGGCTGCATGCGCGGTCGGTGCGAGAAGGCGATCAGTGGTACCAGCAGTTGTCTTTGCAAAGCAGCGAACCAAGAACATTTCATCAGCTACACCTGCGTCTTGGGTCAGCTCGAGCGAGAGAGCACTGGCAACAGGGACTGGCAGTGCAAGAAGGCAGGCGCTGGCAGCAGTGTGTGTCGGTGTGAGAAGGCACGCTGTGGCCTTTGCGGCCGTTGGTGCCCGCCAGCGCATCAAGAACACCTCGACAGTCACAGTGCTGTTTTGGCCAGCGCGTGCCTAGACGGACAGGCAGTGGCGGCGGGAGCTGGCACTGCGTGAAGAGCCAACAGTGGCGGCGAGATTGGCCCCGCGCGCTGAAGCAAGTGCCCGTGTAAACGTCACTAGCTACGCCGATGGGGTCAGCGTGTGCGAAATTACACGTTTTCCCACTCAAGGCAGCTGGCGGCGGCGCGTGCCAGGGCGCTCAGCAGGCCGCCGCAGAGGGCGATACTGCCGAAGGGCGTGGGTAAACAAATGGGCCAAACTCCTCGGGGTGCCCACTTCCCGCCTCGTCGCTCCTCGTCGCCTTTACCCTCGGTTCCACGTGGGAGAAACGGCACGGGGGAGAGATCATCGGATTCCGCGTCGTCAAATACAATGTTTGATGAAGGCCGCACCTTGTCGCCCAGGAGCGGCCTGGGGTAGGGGAAGCTTTCGTCGCCGCTACTCGGGTCGTATCGCCGCTTCTGGGTCAGGCCAGCTGAATCTCCCCCCCCTCCCCCCCATCCTTTCCCTCCTCCCCCCCCATCCTCCTTCCCCTCCTCATCCTTCTCTCCCTCCTCGTCCTCTTTCTCCTCTGCCTCCTCCGCTTCCTCCTCCTCCTCCTCCTCCTCCTCCTCCTCCTCCTCTCCTCCTCCTCCTCCTCCTCCTCCTCCTCCCCTCCTCCCCCCCCACCCCGCTGCTTCCCACTGATTCTTCCCTCCGCCCCGTCCTTCCCTCCCTCCGTCCGCTCCCTCTGTCCCCTCCCTCCCTCGCTCCCTCCCTCCTTCCGTCCGTCCTTCCGTCCTTCGTCGTCATCGTTGTCGTCGTCTTCGTCGTCTTTGCTGCTGCCGCCGTCGTGTTCTCCGTTTTCTTCGTCGTCCTCGTCCTCCCCCAAACTGCCCCCTCCTCCTCCTGAAGCCCGCCCCCCGCCCCCGCCCCGCCCCGCCCCGCCCCAGGGGGACAAAGACCGGGGCGGCAGGCGCCCGCGGCCGACGCCGCCCGCCATCAGCCCATACAGAGGGGACCGCCGCCGCTTCCGCCGCCGCCGCCGCCGTCGTCGTCGTCTTTGTCGTCGTCGTGCTCGTGGCTATTGTCGTGAGATGTCGTCGTCGTCGTCGTTGTCGTATTCGTCGTCGTGTTCGTCGTCGTCGTCGTCGTCGTCGTCGTCTTCGTCGTCATAATCGTTTTCGTCGCCATTGTGCCATTGTCGTCCGACGGCGTCGTCGTCGTCGTCGTCGTAGCGTTTCTTGTCGTCAGACGTCGTCGTCGTCGCCGTCGTCGTCTTGGTCGCCGTTCGCCGTCGTCTTGGTTACCGTCGTCGTCGTCGTCGTGTTCGTTGTCGTCATCTTCGTGGCCCTCCTTGTCGTCAGCCGACGTCGTCGGTGTTGTTTTTGTTAACGTCGCCGTCTGCCGTCGTCGTCGTTGTTTTTGCCATCGTGGTCGGCCGTCGCCGTCGTCGTCTTGGTCGTCGTCGTCGTCGTCGTTATCGCCGCCGTTTTCGTCTTCGTACTCGTCGTTTGGGTCGTCGTTGTTGTCCCACGGGCCCACGGAACGCTGTCTGGGAGCTGCCTGCGCGCTGCCCGCAAGTCTTGGACGCGTTGCCTGGGGCTTGCCCAGGAACTGCTAGGATGTTTGCCAAAACGTTTGGATGTCCTTGCTCGCAGGTCGGCGTGGTTTCCCCTCACTACTCCTGCGGCCATGCTGGTGGTCGTCTTCAGGTTCTTGGGTAGTTCCCCGAGAGAGCTATACGAGTTTTGAAAAAGAGGCCGGCAGGCACGGCCAGGCCCTCCCCTCCTCCACGACTGGCCAGGCAGCGGCGCCGCAGGCTGCTGAACTTCGCAACGCGCTCCGCCAGCGCTTTACTACTCGTTCCCAATACGTGCGCCGCCAGCGCTTGCGCAGTCCCTATGCAGTGCTTCCAAGGCTCGCGCGCAGGTTCTAGGCAACTCCTCGGCAACGCCGCCTAGGCTCTTTGGCAGTACCGAGGTAGTGTCCAGGAAACGTTTCCTGGGCTCGTGGCTTTGTCGTTTTGACCATCGTCGTCTCGAGGAAGGCCGTCGGAGTTCGAGGTTCGGGAGGATATGCTCTTGTTTTCGGCCTCAGGGGGACCGTTTCGGCCTCCTGGGTCCTCAAACATTATTCTTGTGCGAAAAACTATGTGCCAGGATGGACCTTCCTCGCCGTAGCCGTTATCGTCTTCGTTTCGTAGGGTTTCCAGAATTTGTGTGACGGTTGTCGAACCGACGAGGGAGAGGATGATGATGATGTTGATGATGTTGATGATGATGCTGATGGTGATGGTGATGATGATGATTATGATGATGATGATGATGATGATGATGATGATGATGATGATGATGATGATGGTGATGGTGATGGTGATGGTGATGATGCTGCTGATGATGCTGATGATGGTGGTGATGGTGATGTTGATGCTGATGATGCTGCTGCTGCTGATGATGATGATGATGACGCTGCTCCTGCTGCTGATGATGATGGTGGTGATGGTGATGGTGATGGTGGTGATGATGATGATGGTGATGATGGTGTTGATGGTGGTGATGAATGCTGCTGCTGCTGATGATGATGATGCTGACTACGATGATGCAATGGTGATATGATGATGATGATGATGATGATGATGATGATGATGATGATGCTGATGATTGATGATGCTGATGCTAATGCTGATGATGCTGATGATGCTGATGATGCTGATGATGATGATGCTGATGCTGATGCTGATGCTGCTGATGATGATGATGATGCTGCTGCTGATGA